CGGCTAGCCTGACAATCTAGCCGTCCTTAAGTACGGCTAGCCTGGCTGTCTACCCGTACTTATCTTAGGCCTTATTAACATTAGAAAACAGGAGGTTTAAAATACATGCACTGTCATTAAGGCACCTGGTTTCGTCTCAAATCCAAATACTTTATGTACTGCGAACTAAAAATTCATATTTACAATTCAGTAGGCCTATTTTTTTTTATGGTCAGTCTAGCCATCATATTAAGAATAAGTACGACTAGCCCAGCTGTCTAGCCGTACTTAAGTACGGCTAGCCTCTTCCTATATAATTATACTTTTGTTCCTTCTGTTTTCAGGAATTTCAGCAGCTGAAAGCACTGTTCTCCTAGCTACTGTCCATCATGAAATACACTGTTGAGGCAGTTCTGGCCTCTGGGGGCCGTCTTGGCAAACTGTCTCAAACGAGTACTGCTGGAACCATCGCCATGGAAACTCCCATGTGCACTCTTTTCACAAAGGGAGGTAGGTACTTTTTTTTCGCAGTTCAGTATATGTATACCAAGTTGTTATTATTTTTTTTCTCTCATCATTCTTTGAATTCTGCATGAGAACTGGTGCTAATAATACACACTTTATAAGGGTATACTGTAACTAAATCTGACCCCTCAACACTTGCCAAGAGGGATGCATAGATAAATAAAGGCTGGTATTACATCTGCTCTGTTACTACTCTGAATTACTATGAATACTCTACATGCATATTGCCAGCTTTCGTTGTGTAGATGTTTCATTTTTTTTTTCTGTTGCATGCAGAAGACATGAGTTTGCATCTGGCATATCTATATTAATTATAAAATATATACAATTGAACCTGCCATAACTGCCACCTATATAATGTAGCCACCTGTACAAACGGCCACTTTCCATTTGCCCCCTTGCATTTTTTCTATATAATTTAACTGTAAAACAGTCACCTGTCCAACGCGGCCGTGGCCACCTTATTTTATCAACCCAAGGTCAAATTTACCTGCCTCAGACGGCCAGGCGTGGTCACTCATTGCCCGACGCTTTGTCGTAAATTTTGAATTGGCCCCTCGCGCTGTGGACGGGCCGTCATAATTCATTCACCTGTCATTATTGTTAGTCACTCCTTTGAATGTTAACTCAAGTTGACCAATGGTTAGGCCTAAAAATAAATTTTCAACTGCCAGTGAGGGGAGCGTGATCCGTCGTAACCTAAAAGTAGTAAAAGCCCTGCCCACAAATCATGCACAAATTGTGTGTGAGGTGACTGGTCACTGTTTTGTTTACCTTATCTGTAACGAAGTAACAATTGACGTTTATGAACCTGCGACAGACGCGTTGCTCGTTCTCCGAGTGGTGGCGACCCGTGCATTTGTTTTACCAGGGCACTCTGTCTTCATAGTCTTACTTATTTATAATGTTTCTTTTATTTCACCCTTGCACAAAATCAGCTGCGAAAAGAAAGCTCACCAAACAACAAAACAACACAAAAACCCTTCTTTCACCACCCACCCCCCCTTTTTCTAAAGAAAACAAAGACCCTTTTGAATTACCCTTACGGCATTCTAAAGCCTGAGATCAGCCCCGGTTTGGACCCCAGAAGAGAATGATAAAATTGCTTTCTTCATTTTGATCAGTCCTGCCTAAGACGGCCACCTGTGTTATATGGCCACTTCTCTCATTAACATTGGGTGGCCGTTTTACTAGGTTTGACTGTATAGAAGTTGTTTTTATCGAGTATCTCTGTCTGCTGGAATGTTGTACCTTTCCTAGCCCGAGTGGGCATTGACAGGGTGGGTCAAAGCAGACCCCCACCTCTTAAATCTTCTAGACTGTGTTGATGGGGGGGGGGTGTAACACATTTTTATATAAATAGCTACAATTTTACTTTGCTGTTGTTTTCTGTGTTATTGTCTTTTAGGTAGTGCTCCTCACCTGAGTGCTGCGATGTTGCAAAGAATCTCACAGGTGCCTGAAGTTGCCTGTATGAGCCTTGGGTCTATGTGAGTTGATGTTTTATCGTTATAGTGCACCATAGCTTTTAACCCTATCCGTACGCCCTGGGGTCATTTTGTACCCCTGGGGTTGTATTCTTCACATTTTAGAATATTTCTAGTTCGAAGATATCTTTGAAACTTTCAGTATTTATTCTCAAAAAATCATTTTGACAGACTGCTAAGTAAAGTGTATGGATCAGATTGACGAGTAAAATTCATCTTTGGAAAGTTCTTAGTCAATAGTTGATTTTTTTTGTAGAACTTTTTGACCTTTGTGTGTTATGAGGTATTACTGAATCATACTGAATGGTAATTTGTTTCAGCTCTTAAATAATTTCTTTCTTTTTTTAACTTCACAGTTTAATGTCAGCAATCTTTCTTTTTAAAAATCATATACCCAGTGCTCATTGGTACAATCGGTTCGGTTTAGTTTGGTAGGCGGGGCTAACTGATTGAGGGTGAAAAGTGACAATCGTGGCACAAACCGAATGAAACTGACAGTGACGTTAAAACAACGTGTTTGTTTTCAATTTCAAGGCCGCGAGTTGGGCAATAGGTTTGTGTTGGAGGACTGATCCCCTGATGGGCACTGGATAATGGCCAAGCCTACTGTTGAGGAAATCTGTTGGAGGAACAATTGAGGTTCCAAGCTGTTTTTGGACTGGGTTGAATTCCAATGCAGCATTTTTTAATGGCTGGTTTAGTGTAACTAAAGGTTTATTATAAAGTTGTTGTTATGTGATGTCATTCTGTGTAGTCATATTAGACAGACTATTGAGTTCTATGGGGGTTTCTTCAACTTAGATAGTGCTTCAGACGGACAAAGTTATACAAATTCTGCCGCCTTCTACCTGTACTCAAGGTCACGCTGAAGAAAGCCTCACATGAAAAGTTATTGGTGGGTGGTTGGTGGGTGCTCTGTTGTGGTTTGCTATCAAACATCTAAAGGCATTACGATCTATCCTTTTTTGTGTTTGTGACTCTCATAAAACACCTTTAATCTCTGGCACTTATGTGACAAAATTGTGTTGCAAGTACTGTAAAACTCTTACTAAGACAAAGAACTTATTTATTGAACATGTGCTTTTGTTTCAGAGCCAGTCACCATGAAAATGTCCGAGAATTTGGCAAAGGTCTGGGAGAGTTCTCTGCTATGAAGGTATGTTGCTGTTGAATTATTTTAGTGATGAGGTATTTGTCAACACCTTTTTTGATACAGAAATTGAATATTTTTGTATGCCCCAAATAACTGACTGGCTTTGAAAATGAAAAGTGTTACGGTTTTATTTATTTGTATTGTTGTAGTTCAGTATTTATTCCTCCGTAAATGCTCTGACTTTGCAAATTTCCTGAATTTTAGTCCTATGACTATTTTTATTTTTACGTCTTGATTACCATATGCTTTTTCAGTATGATCTGTGTTCTATGTGTTTTTATATGACACAGGCCAACTGGTCTCATTTGTAAAGTGTGATTTTCTGTTTCTTTGGATGGACATCAGGACAAAGTCATCTTCACCACATTGCACGATGCAACAGCTGCGGTAGCGAGTGGCAAGAACGATAAAGGTGGCGTGGCAGTTTGGGGCAAGGGAGGAAAGATGAAGGTATTTCTTTTTCTTTTTCTTTTTTTCTTTTTTTTTCCTTCCATTACTTCTTCTTTGTCACCCAACTAGGCCTCAAGGTACAACAGATTTTTTACATACATGCATAGCTTATTTTATGTGGAAGCTGTAAGGAAAACAAGACAGATCCCAGTCAGAGATGAGGTAGAAAAAAGGCGGTGGCGATGGATTGGACATACTATCAGGAAGTCAGGCAGCTGCATAACAAAGAAAGTTTCGGACTGGAACCCACAGGGTAAGAGATCAAGGGGAAGACCGCGTGGAACCAGGAGAAGAATCACAGAAATCGATATACAGAAAAGTGGGAAGACATGGAATAACATCAAGAGACTAGCCCAGGATAGAGAAAGGTGGAAGGTGTTTGTCCGTGGCCTATACCCTGGTGCAGGGTGAGAAAGGCAATGATGATCGCTTATTTTCCTTCTAGGATGTCCTTTCCCTCTCCTTTCAGACTGACATTTGCCATCTGCTAATTATTTATACTGTATTGTGCCTTGAGGGAATTTATTAAAACGCAGTTACTTATGTTTTCCTGCTTGTTTTTTAATTTTAGTAGATTTCAGCAAAAGAACAAGTGATGTGGTGCTCGCTCAATAACAGAATAGTGAAGGACCCAGCTCACAACTGCATTAGGACATATGAGCGCCAAGGGGTGGATGTCAACAGAAAAGTCCTTACAGGGAATTAGACTTACTCTGCTCACCTCAGCCCATTTACAATTACAATTCTACTGTGCTTAAGAACTCGAGATGTTAATGTCTCCCCCCCCCCCCTTTGGGTATGGCCTAAAGACACTTCAGTCAGTAGCACCGTATCCCATTATTAATGATATGGTCAGCTTATTTCTGGAAGCTCTACAAAAGGTGCCTAGGAGCAATTTCAACAGTTTTAACGGGCTCTTCCATAATCTTCGAAGTCGTTTTGTGCGTTGAAAAGTTTTGAAGCCAGTGTGCTTGGTTAAAGCACAACACTATTGTTTTAGATCCATTCTAGTAGCTGTTGAAACATTATTTTGTTATTCTTTGTACACTTTCAAGTTGTTCATGTGTCAGTTATGTGATAGCTTCAGAAGACATCTTAAGCCTCTTCTGTTCCTACAGGCCTATCCTTCTTAAGCTTTTAGCGTTATTTTAATTATAAGTGTTCTGTGCCTACGTCTGTATGAAAATAGTCTGTGTGTGTGTGTGTGTGTGTGTGAGTGTGTGTGTGCATAAATATAATATATTTCATGAGAAGAAAGGAAGTAGTACGAAAGGTTTTGAAAATGGGTATTCCAATGTAAAGCGTATTGAGCTACTTTTTTGGAAAAGGGGTATATAATTGTTATATATTATTGTTATTATTATCTTGTTGTGTCTTCCTCTTTCAGCTCGACCCTCAGCTGTACATGAAGGTGCAGGAAGCTTTTCGCCCCGACTGGTTCCAGGCGTTGAGCGACGGAGACACCGACAAGACGTGCGGGAAAAAGAGACTGTCAAAGGCTGTTGATCGCACTCTGGATTTCCTGGACGACATTGTGGAGATGAAGAACGAGAGTGAGGTAGGAACATCATGGAGGTGAAGAACAAGTTTTGTTTTTGTAAGTGTTTTACGGCGTTCACAACTGCATAAGGTCATATGAGCGTGTGGGACACGTTTTTCAGTTGGTAGGAAATTTTGAATTTTGCCCGGGTGGTGGCCGCAGCTTACTCTTAGACCTCCAAGGGATCTTTAACTTTCGCAACTTGCACACGGGCCCTCCGAGATTTTTCGCCCTTGTCCGAGAAGGCTAGGTGTAGATCTTTCCTACCAGAAGGTCAGGGGTGTGGCTGAAAGACAGCAGTAAGAAGAAGCCAAGGAGTAGCAGTAAAAAGGCTGTAGAAAGAATCAGGAGCCCAGAGGAGGAGGGCAAAGGAGATGAGGGAGTGGGGGCAGGAAGAGGAGACGAAAGCAGACGACAGAACATTGCTAGAGAGCAGGAAAGGAGGTGAAAGGAGACAAATTTAGAGAAAAAAATGTTTCCCTCTCTACCTGGATTCGAACCTGGGACCTTTGAATGAGAGGCCAACACCTTAACCTCTAGGCCACGAGAGCCCCCTGAAGAACAAGAGTGAGGTAGGAACATTGTGGAGATGAAGAACAAGAGTGAGGTAGGAACATTGTGGAGATGAAAAACAAGAACGAGAGTGAGGTAGGAACATTGTGGAGATGAAAAACAAGAACGAGAGTGAGGTAGGAACATTGTGGAAATGAAAAACAAGAACGAGAGTGAGGTAGGAACATTATGGAGATGAAAAACAAGAACGAGAGTGAGGTAGGAACATTGTGGAGATGAAAAACAAGAACGAGAGTGAGGTAGTAACATTGTGGAGATGAAAAACAAGAACGAGAGTGAGGTAGGAACATTGTGGAGATGAAAAACAAGAACGAGAGTGAGGTAGGAACATTGTGGAGATGAAAAACAAGAGTGAGGTAGGAACATTGTGGAGATGAAGAACAAGTGTGAGGTAGTAACATTGTGGAGATGAAAAACAAGAACGAGAGTGAGGTAGGAACATTGTGGAGATGAAAAACAAGAGTGAGGTAGGAACATTGTGGAGATGAAGAACAAGTGTGAGGTAGTAACATTGTGGAGATGAAAAACAAGAACGAGAGTGAGGTAGGAACATTGTGGAGATGAAGAACAAGAGTGAGGTAGGAGTGAGGCGATTTAGGGGAAAATATATACTTGATGAAACTTTAAGATGATCTATTCTTTGAGTGGATGGTTGGCGGGTGCTCTCAGGTGGTTTGCTTCATCTTTCATATAAAACATCTATCGCCCATACCTCCCCTTTTTCTTTTCTA